AGTCATTCGGGCTAAGGATAGGATGTATTACATTTTCGAAAGCTTTATTCCCGTTTCAAAGTTCAATCCCATAATAATTGCATTTCTAAAAGATAGGACGCAGCAGGTCTGCATTGGTTTAAAAAGAAAATGCATTTGGATGATTTTCAGTCATAAGGTTTTAAGAAGCATTCATGGACTTAAAATGGAAAAGTAATCACAATATCAGTTTAAGAAAAGAAGGGGGGATTTTGACTATGCTTTTTGACTAAAGATGCGGCAGTTATAGAAACGACCTTGTTACTGTTCTTATATTGCACGGGGTGCCTATAGTACAGTTGGAACTGCATCCCATTTTCTAGTCTCTGCACTTTCTCAATGAGAGCAACCCCGTGAACCTCTTTTTTCAATAAGCCAGTTTCATATTCAACTGTACTTTCAATTCAATATTAAATATCTTTAGCTAATGAATTTTACAGCATATTTTTGTTAACAAAGTACACAACATAGTTTGAAGTGATTGATGACTACCAACAAACTTCGCGCGTATGAAACTTCCCACAATGTCCGGGCGCGCAAAATGACTATATTCAACTCCACGTACCGTTATTAAAAAAACCATCAACATAATAAAAAGGCTGTGTTTTTCTACGACATAGGGTTCATCATTGCATGCAAAAGAAAAGCGTACATATGTAGCTTTCATCACCAAAAAAACCCCTAATTTTACAGGTAGCCTATCTAAAATAATAGAAGAAAATTAAAGATGTGTTCCCCGTGCTGATATCATGCCGTCATCAAAAATGTGATTGTAATAATGTCATTACAAAAAACATTAGATATTAAAGTTATATTCTTACACGGGGGCAGTTTAGTCTCCAATGGCAGATGTGCACAGACATCACCATCTGCTGCGTACTGTTATGAACAAAAAACAGTCTCGTGCGTGGATGATTTATCCTCCTTTTTAGAGGGGGGGGGGGGGGGGGGGGGGGGGGGGGTCATACATCACACGTCACTCTTCTGAATGTGAAACTCATATCCTTTGATTGCATTTTAGTGCAATATTCAATTGAAAAATCTCATAACTTATCTGATGCGGAAAATATTATGTTTTCGTTTATTTGTTTTGAAAATGTATTTCTCGACGAGGAAAATCGGCAATGGTCCAATAACTTCTGTAATATAAATGTCTAGTAGCGTGGTAAACCTTGTCATATCAATATATTGAATAATTGCCCCCCCCCCCCCCCCCCGGTCAACCTCGGCTTATCGCCTGCTGTTCGGTTTGTCAATTTTTCTTATTAAATAAATTAACTTTTTTTGCTTCATAAATCAATTACTTATTCAGCAGCAGAAAATTGGGCTGATACTTGACTGATCTGATTCGAGTTTCCTAGTCGGAGACCAGTTAAAATCATGAACCAAGCCCCTGAAGCCTAGGCCGGAAGGAAACAGACTCTACGTTTGAAAATGCCTATGGCCACCTGGCTCGATCGCTCCTGGAAAATTTAAATGATAAAGGATATTGTAATATATCTGCATAGTATTGCATATGCTATCTTTATTCAAGTCGTTTTGGAGTGATCAATGTTGACTGCAGTACGTGTATACTATGAAGGGCAACCTGCATGGCCATGCAGCGATCCTGCCAATGCTTTAATCGAGGCTACCACGCGCTGCGCACGCCGAATAAAGCTTTGAATTTTTCAATCCACGTGTTTCCCTGGTACACATGAACCGCCTAGCATTTATGTGCATCTGCCAGATACCAGCCGATTTTCAGTCGGCCATGTTTGATTTTTCGCCGAAACTGGGAATTTTGACACGTTTGGTCATCCAATTTTCGAGAACTTTTTACGCCGTAAATGACTTTTGTGAGTCTTCCAATTACAGTAATGTGATGAATTAATGGTCCGCCAACTTGGTGAGTGTTGAAGTAAACTTTATTTCAAACTGATTTTGGAAACAATTATGATGCAAAAATTGCGCTTTCAGTCGTGGGATGTGTGAGCCTTGAAACGTCTGCTTGAGATTTGGGGGGGGGGGCATGGTGTAAGACGGGATGCTGCATGGGCGGAGATAGTGGCCAATTTACTGGAGTGCCTCCGTAAATAAAGGGTACACTTCTACCATGTACAAAAACGTGTCGAACTTTGTCAAATTTTGATTTTCACATTTAGGCTTAGTTTGTAGTTTATTTTTGCTTGAGAAGTAGCTTGAGTAACTCCAGCTGACATGCTTCATTTTCATTCACATGTAACGCTGGAGGCATAACCTGTTCGTTAGAGTGTGGTAGCAAGAGACCCTAAGAAAAATGGCCTCTCAAAAATTGTTCATGTTCACCCCTAATATCCTAGTCCGAGTAACTTGGACCCAACTTATCGCCTTTTTTAACATTTGGACGTGGTCTGGCGATAGTAAGGTCCAAGCTAATGCCGCGACCTGGACAACATCATCCTGTCACTGTCCCAAAAACCAACATTTTCCAACAAAAACATCATGTTTCACCCTCAAAACGGCCTCCAAATTACTAGATATGCCATCTGAGGTATAAGTAGACATCGATGATTAAGATGGTTGTACTGAAGTTTACTGACGATCCGCAAGAAAAGTGAAATTTCCCGTTCAATTCTGAGAGCTCCCCTCGCGATCTTGAACACGTTAAATTTCCGACTTGTGTTCATGTTTGAACGACGCGATTTCTTCTTCATGCCCAGCGTACATTCAATGGTCCCCGTATCCCGAGTGCGATTCCGTTACCGAGCGCGCGCGATGCATCGACTATGATAATGAGTGGACTGGATCACGTTTGTAAACACATGTGCATTTCGAACGATAATAGGGAGTCGGGAACTAGTGCAGCTTTTATGGCGGATACCAGTTCAAGCTGGTTCCCGATTCCCTTTTACAGTTCGAAATGCACTTGTGTTTACAAACGTGACTCATTATCATAATCGATGCATCGTGCGCGCTCGGTAACTGAATCGCACTCCGGATACGGGGACCATCGAATGTACGCTAGGCATGAAGAAGAAATCGCATCGTTCAAACACATAACACGAGTCGGAAATTTAACGTGTTCAAGATCGCGAGGGGAGCTCTCAGAACTGAATGGGAAATTTCACTTTTCTTCCGGATCGTAAGTAAACTTCAGTACAACCATCTTAATCATCGATGTCTACTTGTACCTCAGGTGGCATATCTAGTAATTTGGAGGCCGTTTTGAAGGTGAAATCTGATGTTTTTTGTTGGAAAATGTTGGTTTTTGGGACAGTGACAGGATGATGTTGTCCAGCTCGCACTATTAGGTTGGACCTTACTATCGCCAGACCATGTCCGAATGTTAAAAAGGCGATAAGTTTGGTCCAAGTTACTCGGACTACTAATATCCCACCCCAGAGTTCATTTACATACCTCATACATTCAGCTGTCATTTACGAAGCCTAATGTGAAAAATCTTGACGATTTTGGTGGCTTGTCCTTAAAAAAAATGCCAGTTCCAACGGCTGTCGTCCATTTTGTTTTGCTAATTATGTAAATGTATGCATCAAGTGATGACATCAAAAAAAAATCTGCGCGCGCGATGTATGTGGGTACCACACCGTTTTCAGGCGCCGCAAGTGAGTTCAATTTTTACCCCTCAGCCGAGAGGCTCGAGGGGTATTGTCATCGCCTAGGGCGTCCGTCCGTCTGTCCGTCCATTCTTCCGTTCTGACCATACCACCCTTGTGGGGTGATGTTCCTTTCAGGACACATCACCCCACTTTTTTCACAATAGAAAAACATCACCCCAGAAGGGAATCTTTAGAAAAAGGGATAATGGGAACACAATGCTATCACCCCACAATTCCATCTGGCTGGAATGTCCGTCCGTCCGTCCGTATGTATGTATGTCAGTGTGTCCGTCCGGGCAGCTTAGTTTCCGGATGATAACTTGAGTTAGAAATGTTCTTTGGGATTGTAACTTCGGTAGGGGGTTGCCCTTGGGAGTAGGCAAGTTGGGATTGGTTTTGAGGTCAAAAGGTCAAAGGTCAAGGTCACCGTGGTGAGTTAAAGATAAATGGTTTCCGGATGATAACTTCAGTTAGAAATCAGATTTTGGTGTCAAACTTTGGTAGGGGGTTGCCCTTGGGTACAGGCAAGTTGGGATTGGTTTTGGGGTCAAAAGGTCAAAGGCCAAGGTCACCATGGTGAGTTAAATGTAAATGGTTTCCGGATGATAACTTGAGTTAAAAATGAGATTTTGGTGTCTAACTTTGGTAAAGGGTTGCCCTTCGGAGTAGGCAAGTTGGGATTGGTTTTGGGGTCAAAAGGTCAATGGTCAAGGTCACCGTGGTGAGTTAAATGTAAATGGTTCCGAATGATAACTTGAGTTAGACATGCAATTTTGGGTCTATCTTCAGTGGTGAGTTAAATGTAAATGGTTTCCGGATGATAACTTGAGTTAGAAATGAGATTTTGGTGTCTAATTTTGGTAAAGGGTTGCCCTTGGGAGTAGGCAAGTTGGGAGTTGTTTTGGGTCAAAAGGTCAAAGGTCAAGGTCACCGTGGTGAGTTAAATGTAAATGGTTTCCGGATGATAACTTGAGTTAGACATGAGATTTTGGTGTTTGACTTAGGTAGGGGGTTGCCCTTGGGTACAGGCAAGTTGGGATTGGTTTTGGGGTCAAAAGGTCAAAGGCCAAGGTCACCGTGGTGAGTTAAATGTAAATGGTTCCGAATGATAACTTGAGTTAGACATGCAATTTTGGGTCTATCTTCAGTAGGGGGTTTCCCATTGGTACAGGCATGTTGGGACTGGTTCTGGGGTCAAAGGCCAAAGGTCAAGGTCACCATGTTCAGTTAATGGTTTCCGGACGATAACTTGACTCTGGCTGAGGGGTTTTAACAGCAACGCTGTTATTTTTGTCTGGTGCGTTGTCGCGGAAAGCGAGACAACGAGAATGCTTGACTGGGAAATTGAAAGGGAAATTAGCAAATTAAGGTTTGACTGTTGGTTTTTATTTAATCTGTCCTCAGAAGAGACTGACCTTTGTGAATCATGCTGAGGCTGGATTGGATGGACCAGACCAGTGCCTAGACTATCGTGAATGACTGCCCACTGAGGCTTTTCCCCAGCGACATCAAAGCCATCCACACCGTAGCCGATGATGCCCTGGCCTGGATGTCTACCCTTGGCCTACAACTGTAGGCTGTGCACGCCATACGAAAGAAGAAGAAGTGCCTAGGCTAGGCAGGACACTGAGGACAGACTGGATGACCATCATCATGGTGACTGGGATGACCTTAAGGGTGAGTCAAATCAAGAATGCAACCTGCTCCATCAAAACTCATCACAATGTGCACCTAAGAACCTCAGATTTCCCTTGTAAATGAAATTATGTCAGTACAAGACCATAATTCTCTCACTTGATTCTTGTGAATTTGATTTTTGTCCTCTTCTGATTGAAAGAACTTTTGATACTTTTACCTGTAGCATCCTGGACAATACATTGTAATTTGAAGAAGAAAAAGAATTGAAAATAATTTCTCAGCAATGATCATGACAATCATTTCAGAAAGACAGCTAGAGGAATTGAGACTTTCCTTTATTGAATGATTACTGTGTGATTTGAATTTTTATATACACTACAGAATCAAAAAAGAAAATTCATTCGGGTGGACCGCCAAAGAGAAATGCAAATAAGCCTTCAATTACTGTCATAGTTGTTTGCATGCAGATAACTCTCATATTTCAATTGTACATTTAAGCTCTCTTTTGCTGCCAACCTCTTACAGTATGATGCACATGTTTTTAGATTGATGGAGCAGGTTTTATGTTTCATAGGAGAGAGTTACGTGAACAATAACTATGAATTGCAGCTTTTTCCTCCAAATTATTTACGATCACTCAATTGACTGTTTTTTGGAATAAAGAGTGCTACTGACGAAATCATGTTTCGTGTTCAAAAGGTGGTTGTTCACTGATTTCTTGAAAAGTGTAATATCCACTGAGCTGAAATTTCAACGATTTTGAACTTTCTTCTTTGGATATTAAGTTGTGTTATTATAGGAAACAAAGGAAATGCATGAAAAGTAAATGATCCTATATGCCTTAATATGAACTGTTGCTAGTGTCAATAATTTTGTGCAGTAAAGGTACACACATTATCTATGGTTGCTAAAAATATTTTTTTTTCATATTTGGATTTCATAATAATGTCAGTTTGTCTTCAAAATATATAAGTTTATTTACCTGAAATCATTTGGATCGGACAGCTGAAATATAAACAGATGCATTTTTTTCTGTGGATTGAAAAATTGCTTTTGATTGGTGCAAAGGAAATGAATATTAATTTTTTTCCCAAAACAATTCTGCCTATGTTAATTGACAAAATTTATAAAACCTTATCTCAGTTATGGAAAACGATAGATGCTTTCAATCTCTGAGCTACCTATTGTGGAAAATAAATGCAAAGGAAAATAAATGAGCTGAACTATCACAGTTAATAACTAGAGTTTCGCGTTTGTTGAGTTACAAACGCAGAGTGGTCGGGCGGACAGCCTTTTCATTATTCACTGCCCAGTTAAGTTAGGAATATATGTTTATGTAGAAAAAAGGATCACGAAATTAAATCCCTTCAAGTACAATCAATGTTTCAAAAAGGTATCTTTAACGGCGTAATAAATTTCAGTAAACATTCCATGTGCACAAAAAGTTATTTCTGGCTTGATGACGTTATCAGTCAAAAAAGGTTAGTGAGTACTGATAAAGTTCGGAGGGGATAATTTTTCATTGTAAAGTTAAAATAACGTATGAAACTATGGGAAATATAATTGTTTGTATTAATGACATCTAACTTCCGGTTTGATGACGTATTGATAACACCTAACTTCCGGTTTGATGACGTCACAGCATCAGAGATCCAAAGGTGAACATTGTAATGGATATCATTATTTGGACTTCGAAGATATGACAGGGATCAAATGATAGAATTAAATTAAAACTATGATCTTTTTCAAATTATCCTTAAAGTAACTTCGGGTCTGATGACGTCATGAATTTGAAACCTTGCCAAGTTATCTGTGGTTAATCAGAGAATGTCAAGGGGCGATTTGGTAAAATTTGGACGGATGGTTTTACAATTAAAGAAGGGAAACTTTATTTTATGTGCCGATAGGGGGTGCCCTTTCGGATGATGACGTCATCACACTGTTTTTTACGTCTTGCATTCCTCACTTAACACTTTCATAATATATATGTCTGTAGTAAAATCCTTCCGCTTTTGAGTTATATTCAGTTTTTATTGCACTTCCGGTAACACCGGAAGTAAAGGTCAAGCGGTTTTGCGTCCGGGAACACGAAATGTTTCCCACGGCATAGTCTACATACAACCTCACAAAAAAACGAACACGATACTCAATTTAGTTCAAAAGATATAACGCAAACTATTTTGTCAAAATTTGCCCTTAAATCGCTTGTAATTTGATACCTGATGACGTCATGATGACGAAACAAAATTTATAACATCTTCGTAACATGGTACAAGTTCACACAAGGTTTTGTGATCATACCGTGAACCGTTCGGAAGAAATGCTGCTTTGTTTTGATGTCAGGCTAACGTCTTCATTTTGAATTCACCTAACTTTGACCTTCCGGTAGACCCGGAAGTAAAGGTCAAGCGAGTTCACGTACATGACAAAAACTGTTAAGCGATTAATGGTCTATCTGATTACAGAATACAAACATCATTGATTGTTTAGTTCAAGAGTTATAGGCGAAAGTAATTGGTCACTTTTTCAGATAAAATGACTTGTAATTTGACACCTGATGACGTAATCATGACGTCAGAGTAATATGCACCACTTCGGATGAGGGTCGAAATATATTGAAAGTTACAAGTTCATACCATATACCGTTTAAGAGAAAACCCATGGAGAAGTATTGTCCGGAAAAAAAAAGAAAGAAAGAAAGAAAGAAAGATTAATTGTAACAGATCCAAAGAGTGGTCGGGTTGTGCCCGACCACTCAATTATTATTATTTGCTGACAGATAATGAAATGTAGATTTCCTGCTGTGATGTTAGCATAATGTAGGTGCCAGTCTGGTTCAGGGAAAGCTGTTATACACATTTAGCCGGGGGGGGGGGGGGGGTTGCTTGGGGGGGCGCACACCCCCCATAAACAGTTTGCCCCGTCCCGCCCCCCTCCCCCACTGAAAATTTAGCATCTGGAGAAAAACACAGCTGTATGAGTAACTATGATTAGCTGGAAGACCATAAAGTCCCTTTTTTTTCAGCGATTTTTTGCGTATTTGACCAAAACTATATTTTTTCACAAGTGGCCTTAACATCCCTTGGAAAGCGAATAGTGGTAGTTATTGTCTAATGTAGCCATGATATATGTTACTTCGAACAGTGCCCTCATGTGAAGATGGTGTCCCCCGTCCCCACCCACTATTTGATGTCACCTTTTGTCTACCGGGCTGAAATTTGTGGGAGCCCCTCCATTGTAACCTCAAGCCCCCACATAACCCCCTCCCCCCCCCCTCCCAGGATGAGAACCCTAGCTACGCTGCTGCATGTAGCTGGCAAATTATACAGACTCTCTCCCTTTCAATCTGTTTCTGACCTTTGGCAGTTCTTTTGACACTGAATAAATCTTTTTGATTGGAGGCCCATACATGAAGTTTTCTCTGGATTATTGGACTCTCATTTTCTCCCTTCCTATTATTGCTAACATTTTGGTCAATACAACTTTCCTGAAGCTACATATAGCTTTAAACTTTTAATAACTTCAGAAATTCCTCATCCTTTCATCTTGCCCTGTTTTTCCATGGTTGCTAGTCCTTATAGTACTTAACAATCTTATCACCATGGCAAATTAAACAACCAAATTTGTATCTGCAATTAAGCCAAACTCAGTTGACAAAATCTTACGAAGCCTCTGCCAATTGGTTTATAAATTTTGCTGTTCTTTAGTTCCTAAATTTTCACCTTAACTATCATGGAAATCATATCATCTTTTGATACCAAAAACATAAAAATCGGACCACGGGTTGCTGTGCAGCAACAAATTTTCTGGGGCTACGCGCCGTGAAAACTGAATTTCCCCATATACGTCGTGTACACGAGCAGAATTACCATTTGTACATATGAATTATTAATTAGCCATAATTCCAAAATCCTTTGACCTATAAACCCTTTGTATGCCCTCCTTGAATTTCTACATTGTGTGGAGATTATACCTGTTCACTATTTTACCCAATGAATATTGAAGCCAATTTCAAGGGAAGACAATTGCAAGGAAAAGTTCATTCATACTTTTAGTACAGGCTTACACGTGTGAATAGGAAGCAAACGTTTCGGTGTATCCGTCATACGTGACAAAATGGCGCGATGTATTATCATTCGCTCAAGTTCACAACATGCCCAATCGGTCATCACGGACTTTACAAATCAGTTTGTGTGAAAATACTTTTTCACTTAAAGATTACTGATGATATTTGTTAGGCCTAAAACAGACAAGAATAACAGGTACAAATATTATGCACGTTCAGTGGTTTTATAATGAGACACGGACAAAATATTTATTTGAAGTTAGATTATAGTGAAATAAAGTTAAAATCATTGAAGTGCATGTTTAAAAAGAATACTCAATACACCTAAAAGTTGAATATTTTAATAAATCTGAAATTCTGTCTCTCAAAACCTTAATATTGCCTATAGTATAGATATTCATTGGTGAAACCCTCTACAATGTTTTGAATAATAAATTACCAAAATTACAGCTATTTTATGGTAAGAGTTTCTACAGGGTGACCCCCCAAAAAATGCAACCCTAAAATATTTGCCTTTAAAAAAAAAGGGGGATCGGTTGATTGTTATGTTTTGGGTATCAGATTAAAGCTGAGGGATTTTCTTTCAAAAACTGAAAATGTCATGAAAATAGCACTTTGGGTTGCTGGGGAAATGCCAATTATGTAAAAGTAGTCATTTTTCATCCTGTACACAAATACTTCAAACAGTGAACAAATTTACTGTTTAATAATAGTATGCCCACTGTGCAATTATCCTTCATTTGTGCAATGTCTTTAATATTTTGACATATTGATGATGCTGTAAAGGTTTAAAATAGGACTAAAAGGGATGAGATACCTGTTCAGCTGGAACATAAAAGGTATTTCCATCAAATTCATTTGCACTCTTGTCATTATGTGCCGCGTTGTTTGTGAGAATTAGGACATCCCTTAACTGTGGTTTGTGTACAAGATGAAAAATGGCTGCTTTTACATATAAAAATTGGCATTTTCTCAGCAATCCATAACGCTATTTTCATGATTTTTTTCAGTATTAAAAAGAAAAAACTCTCAGCTTTAATCTGATACCCAAATCATAAAAATCCATCGATCCTTTTTTTTTAAAGGCAGATGTTTCAGGGTTGCATTTTTGTTTGGGTCACCCTGTATAATGTTTTGAATATCGACCATCACTATCACATTTGACACTCGATTGTTACTTTGCCTACTAAGTTTGATGGAATGTCTATTGGTGTTAATGTGTCACCCATTGTGTTGTGGCTCCCTTATTGTACGTCATAACACTTTTAGCCTTAGATATTTGTTTGGTTCCATTCTTTAAGTTGATTATTTTCAATTTTAATACATGATAATGTGTTTCCAAGCTCAGCTGTTGAGAAATGTACATGTAAGTGCAGGAAATGTAGAATCATATAATGTATTATATATTATATTATATATATGCATGTATTGGCCTTCAACGCATGAAAAGCGTTCCACCAATGGAAAGCTGGTACAATCGTCTTACACACGAATATCCGCAATATCAAAAAGAAAAAGAAAACAAATCGTTTCTCTCAAGAATTACAAATGCAGCGAATATAACTAAGTTGTACGGAACGGATTCGTCACCCCGAATGTCATAAATGTTAGAGCTTAGAAGAGCAAACACAAGCATAATATTAACACTTAAATTAAAATAGGAAAGTTTTACCACCAACACCTGTATAATAAGTCCCGAAATTAAAATTGTCGATTCTAAAGTATGGCGTCAGAGCAGCACCAGCTTTCAGAATCCTCTGCGTCCATGTCTCCGCTAGCTCTGCATTGAAAAGAGAAACAAATACGAACGTTACAAAATTGCAGTTTTGTTTCACTCTTTCATTGTACAAATTAATGAGCACATGATGGACAAGTTGATAGTCTCCATTTCATCAATGTGAAGAATGATTCAGTTGAATTTTGCAGAATTTAAGTAGAATATGAGTCTGACAAATAGAAATGATTGTGTAAAGTTTTGTTCGGAATTGTTTGATCTGATGAACCATACATTGTAACTGCGAAGTCTTATCTCAATAGACAACGTTTTTATATGAGAAACGTTTCGGTTACTAGCAAAACTCAGTCAGTGTTACATCACAGAACATTGTCCATATAAACATATGGCATTGCACGTGCAGTATTCATTTTCATTACCTTGCCAGATTAGCATGCAAGTTGTCCACTACTCGGTTTTAGCCAAACTTGCGCCTGAGTCGTCGTTTGGATAGCGCTTGGAGATCCCCGGAGGGATCGACGGGGCCGCCCCTTTTCAAAGGTTCGGCGGAGTGTAATTCTCGGAAGGCGAGATGCGAAGTTCGTTCTGAAAGGTACATCAGGCCACGAAATTGGTTGATACCTATTTCACATTTAAAAAGCTTATATTTCATGAATATAGCCTCAAACCGCGTAAGACGTGAGAGCTATCTACCAGTCGACAGCCGCTGATACGGACAAGGCATTGTAGTTGTGTAGCGATGGCAGCTATTAATTATACTTACGATCTAAATCTTGCTCTTCGTGTCCGGATTCAACCGTGGTATCTACAGAGGAATATATTTAATTAAAGTGATTATAAAACTTATTATGTATCCTTGTTATTGTTAATTAAAAGCGAATTGTAGTGGAGGCTTGAAAAGATTGGGGTATATTGAGAGTCGTTGGAAATTCTGTATTAATACCTAAAAATTATATACAATAATATTATATGCAGCTCTGAAACATTTACTTGAGATTCGTTGTATTTTAGAACATTGAATTTGAAGAAAACTTTGAGCAGTTATCACAAAAGAGGGGATATTTCTTGATCTTCTCCTCATCTATTTTTGAACAAATAATTCATATCCCGTGCTGACATGTACATACCTCGCTTGCTTTCCTCGGAATGGCCATCACAACGTGCGTCCTCTTTGGAACAAAATAAAAGGAAAAGCGCGAAAATATTTCAGCAAAAAAGATCAACTTGTGCCAAAATAATTTCATGCAGTATCGCGTAAAAGCTCAATTTAAACGTCTAGTCTGAACTCTTAAGGGCCAAATGTCTATATAATAATGTGCGCCGGGTTTAGAGTGTTTGATCGGAGAGGAGAAAAATCATCTGATGTAAAGGACAAACCAATAAGCAGGTGTTTTTTACTCACCTAACAACACCAGGCCAAGTATGACCAGACAGCTCACAATTATTAACTTCATTTTGTCAACGCCAACAACTCACAGCATACGAATAGTATATCTTTCGGGTAGAAGGTAAACTGTAACAACAAGTAAATAAACAAACAAAGAAAAAAGGAAATGTATACAATTATTTTCCTGCACAGGCATGAAGTTTAAGAAGGTAATATCGAAGCAGCTGAATATACACGCATGCATAAAACGGCTCTACCGGTACTTGTAGCTTGCAAGTAGCTTACAAATGCTTTAGTCGTAAAGAATGCCAGAAGATCAACAATTTAGGGCAGAAATAAGGAAAAGGATGAAAACGAGCAGTCTCTTTAATGTAACATGTTAAAGACTATCATTGCATTAATTGCTTATCAATACCATAGCCAGACTGGCACCATTCTTGAAAATGATACTCTGTAAATGTATATACATGTATGCTCTTTATGGATTAAGCCCTGTTGGGGTAAACACTTGTATCAATTTCTCTAAAACCGAGAATGTTCATTTGTATTACTCATGCGTCGGATCCCCGTACTTTTTGAATATTAAATGTAGCATAATTCCACATCCGACTAGCTGTATATTAAAATCATCATGATGGAAAGTGATCTTCGTTTTCTTAAGTTCGGCTTCCTTTGACGAAATTTGTCAGTGTCAGCATTCTGCGATCCAACATCAAAATATATTAAAACCCTGATCATTCAAAAAAAAATGAAAAAGCTCATACCTAAGATTGGTGTATACCTGGAGGCAAATTGTCATCACTGTTTTGTCCTTAAATGGTCTCACTGCCTAAAAAGAAACAAGGCTATCAACAAAGATTCCCCGTTTCACGAGAAGTGTATACTTCGCCCATGCTATTATGCAAATTTTGTGAGCCAGCTTTCACAACAGCTGAAGATTGGCTGACGAATTGGCGCTACTTTTCAATTTGCATCCAGCGCGCACGTGTTCCAGACATGCGCAGTTGACCATTTTGTCCCTTCAAACATGGTGACTGGCTGAAATTTGACCACGAAATTTCCACGGTGAAAAGTTGTACATAATCCTCATGAATACCGCGTTGACTGACTAAAGAAAGGACGGGGGGGGGGGGGGGGGGGGTGGGGGGGGGGGTAATACGTTGTTAAAGAACATTATTTGGGAGAGAACAATTAACTTTGAGTGATGTTTGAAGGATATTTCCACACACTTTTCTCAACTATCTGGACGCTTGACAACGTAACATTTAGGCCTAGGTGGTTTAGTAAAAGCCGTATTCACGTTTCAGATTTTCAGTAAGTTAAAATTTTCCCATTTTAAACGTCTTCCAAACACTTCTGTATCAACATGCCAGCCTCGAATTTCTGCATCGTGTGGAGATTTATCTGTGGACTATTTTATTCAATAAATATTGAAGCCAAATTCAAGGGCATACAATAATAATTGCAAAGAGCAGGTCATGCATACTTTTATATGGCTACGCGTGTGCATGGTAAGCCAAGTTTCGGTGTATTTACCATTAAGCATGTGCAACGTGAGAAATCGGTACGATGTAGGTAACGTTCTCTTGTAATGTATGAATATACTTAAAAGAAAAAAATATTCACATTCAAAAGAGATGAAAATGTATTATTCGAGTCTATATATCTTTGATGTTAAATATCAGGTTGCTTTTTTTTGCTTTTTGTTTTTAGTGTGTTTTTTTTGAAAATGCACGTAATCAAATGAAAATTATTTTATATAAAAATAAAAATGCTTTGGTCCAGATCGAATGTGAAACAATCAAATTGGAAGGACACAGTTGAGGACGGAAGCAGTTGAGGAACAGTTTCTGTAGTTTTGAAGTTTAAGGAAACGAATGGAAGACTGTTACTTAGTGCTTTAATGTCAAAAACATATAGCCATTACTGGTACCATCCTTGAAAAGGATCTGTTGAAATTACTTCTTAGTCACGAATGGAAATGGATGACCAATGTCACTAGTATCGATTTCTCGAAATGCGAGAATTTTCATTGCTATTCCTCACGTATTGGACGCCTGTCATATGTTAATATAAGCACAATGGCACACCTGTTTAGCTGTATCATGAAAACATCTGCAGGGTTACAAAGGGAAACACGCACAGGCTTTCTGAATATTTTTAGAAAATATAATAATGTCAATATTGTCAAATTGGCATTTGGCGCGTTGAAGGAATCTCACATTGTTCCAAAGTTGTAGACAAATGGATCAACTGTTCATTATATGTTTCTTGCAAAGATTTTGTTTATAAACAAAATTCGGAATTTGACAACTGCAAAGTCACTTTTAAACAGGTAAACATGCTTAAGAATGCAATGTGGAGCAATATTTTAGCGATAGGCCTACGTGTCAGGATTTGCAGTTGCTAACTTGCATTATACTCTTCCATAAGGTGACGGTTATGAAGGCCTATAGAGCTGATGCGTTAAGGCGGGGTCAGAGGGCAATGGTTTTGTATCGCTGGGATAGCTAGGCATGAGTAAAACCTGTGTCCATTCATTGTAACATGCATGACAATGGACACCCTCTGAGATGCCCCCAGCGGAGGTGTATACTAAACCATGCGATTTTCTCAAGCTTAATTGTCATGTACCCCTAAAATACAGGGGAAGAAAAAAAAGCAGAACCCGAACCCCCAAAAATGAATTTGATATTTAAAAAAAATATGTAGCACCAAAAATAACAATGATTGGGAAGCCATTTTCATAAGCCACTTTTAGATGAAAAAAAAAAAATTACTGAAATTCCTCAATCCGTTCAAAAAATATCACCATTTAAACGCAATTACCCTAAAACCTGTCTCGTTAAAAAAAAGCAATTTATTGTGTATTCTATGTTTGGAACAAAGAAAATAACACGTACAGTATACATGTTTCAACAACTGTCAACAACTGAAGTACACAGTATCTTTATAAACAACCCTGGTTAGGCAAACGATATGCTTGATACAATCTGTTGTTTTTTTTAATTTAAAGACGGGCCTTCAAAAGGACCTTTTTGTTTTTGGATGAAAGAGGTTAAAAATGTCATTGTGTTTAAATAGTGATATCTTTGAACGGATTAAGCAATTTCGGTAATTTGTTTAATCTAAATTTAACTTGGCTTTCCAGTCATTATTATTTTTGGTGCTACATATTTTTTTTAAATATTAAATATAATTTGTTGGGTTGGGTGGGTTCTGCTTTTTTTGACTCGCCCTGTATTATCTGTTCAGCTTCTACATAACTGCAGCAATATATTATACACTAATTGTAAAGTTTATTTTGAGCGGTTAAGGCCGCTCCATAAGTCATTCGGGCTAAGGATAGGATGTATTACATTTTCGAAAGCTTTATTCCCGTTTCAAAGTTCAATCCCATAATAATTTCATTTCTAAAAGATAGGACGCAACAGGTCTGCATTGGTTTAAAAAGAAAATGCATTTGGATGATTTTCAGTCATAAGGTTTTAAGAAGCATTCATGGACTTAAAATGAAAAAGCAATCACAATATCAGTTTTAGAAAAGAAGGGGGGATTTTTACCATGCTTTAGTTGGCTAAAGATGCGGCAGTTATAGAAACGACCTTGTTACTGTTCTTATATTGCACGGGGTGCCTAGTTGGAAATGCATCCCATTTTCTCTCTGTGCACTTTCTCAATGAGAGCAACCCCGTGCACCTCTCTTTTCAATTAGCCAGTTTCATATTCAACTGTACTTTCAATTCAATATTAAATATCTTTAGCTAATGAATTTTACAGCATATTTTTGTTAACAAAGTAGACAACGTAGTTTGAAGTGCTTGATGACTATAACAAACACACATTTTTCGTGCGTATGATACTTCCCACAATATCCGGGCTCGCGAAATGACTATATTCAACTAGAAACTCCACCGTTATTAAAAAAAAAAATCAACACAATAAAAAGGCTGTGTTTTTCTACGACATAGGTTATTGCATGCAAAAGAAAAGCGTACATATGTAGCTTTCGCACCCAAAAAACCCCTAATTTTACAGGTAGCCTATCTAAAATAATAGAAGAAAATTAAAGATGTGTTTTAGTGCAATATTCAATTGAAAAATCTCATAATTATCTGATGCGGAAAATATGTTTTCGTTTACTCGTTTTGAAAATTTATTTCTCGACGAGGAAAATCGACAGTGGTCCCAATAACTTCTGTAATATAAATGTGTAGTAGCATGGTAAACCTTGTCATATCAACATATTGAATAATTGCCCCCCCCCCCCCTGTCAACCACGGCTTATCGCCTACTGTTCGGATCGACAATTTTTCTTATTATTAAATAAATTAACCTTTTTTGCTTCATAAATCAATTACTTATTCAGCAGCAGAAAATTGGGCTGATACTTGACTGATCTGATTCGAGTTTCCTAGTCGGAGACCAGTTAAAATCATGAACCAATTAAGCCCCTGAAGCCTAGGCCGGAAGGAAACAGCCTCTACGTTTGAAAATGCCTCCTGAAAAATTTAAATGATAAAAATATTGTAATATATCTGCATAGTATTGCATATGCTATCTTTATTCAAGTCGTTTTGGAACGATCAATGTTGACTGTAGTACGTGTATAGTGAAGGGCAACCAGCATGGCCATGTAGCGATCCTGCCAATGTATGTGGGTACCACACCGTTTTCAGGCGCCTCAAGTGAGTTCAATTTTCGTCTGGTGCGTTGTCGGCGCGGAAAGCAAGACAACGAAAATGCTTGACTGGGAAATTGAAAGGGAAATTAGCAAATTAAGGTTTGACTGTTGGTTTATATTTAATCTGTCCTCAGAAGAGACTGACCTTTGTGAACCATGCTGAGGCTGGATTGGATGGACCAGACCAGTGCCTAGACTATCGTGAATGACTGCCCACTGAGGCTTTTCCCCAGCGACATCAAAGCCATCCACACTGTAGCCGATGATGCCCTGGCCTGGATGTCTACCTTTGGCCTACAACTGTAGGCTGTGCACGCCATACGAAAGAAGAAGAAGTGCCTAGGCTAGGCAGGACACTGAGGACAGACTGGATGACCATCATCATGGTGACTGGGATGACCTTAAGGGTGAGTCAAATCAAGAATGCAACCTGCTCCATCAAAACACATCACAATGTGCACCTATGAACCTCAGATTTCCCTTGTAAATGAAATTATGTCCGTACAAGACCATAATTCTCTCACTTGATTCTTGTGAATTTGATTTTTGTCCTCTTCTGATTGAAAGAACTTTTGATACTTTTACCTGTAGCATCCTGGACAGTACATTGTAATTTGAAGAAGAAAGAGAATTGAAAATAATTTCTCAGCAATGATCATAACAATCATTTCAGAAAGACAGCTAGAGGAATTGAGTTTTTCCTTCATTAAATGATTACTGTGTGATTTGAATTTTTATATACATGTACACTACAGGATCAAAAAAGAAAATTCATTCGGGTGGACCGCCAAAGAGAAATGCAAATAAGAGTTGCATTAAGCGTTCAATTACTGTCATAGTTGTTTGCAAGCAGATAAACTCTCATATTTCAATTGTACATTTAAGCTCTCTTTTGCTGCCAACCTCTTACAGTATGATGCACATGTTTTTAGATTGATGGAGCAGGTTTTATGTTTCATAGGAGAGAGTTACGTGAACAATAACTATGAATTAAAGCTTTTTCCTCCAAATTATTTAAAGGCATATAGGATCATTTGCATTTGTCCCAAAATTAACCTCCCACAATATTATTAAAATGCTTACTTGGATTAAGTAAAGATTGTAGCAGTACAAAACACCCTGTGAAATAATCTGTCTGGCTTTCTGTTATTTCAAAGAAATCAAGAAATTTTGGTGATTTCCAACGATCAATCAATTGACTGATTTTTGGAATAAAGAGTGCTACTGACGAAATCGTGTTTCGTGTTCAAAAGGTGGTTGTTCACTGATTTCTTGAAAAGTGTAATATCCACTGAGCTGAAATTTCAACGATTTTGAACTTTCTTCTTTGGATATTAAGTTGTGTTATTATAGGAAACAAAGGAAATGCATGAAAAGTAAATGATCCTATATGCCTTAATATGAACTGTTGCTAGTGTAAATAATTTTGTGCAGTAAAGGTATACACATTATCTATGGTTGCTAAAAATATTTTTTTTTCATATTTGGATTTCATAATAATGTCAGTTTGTCTTCAAAATATATAAGTTTATTTACCTGAAATCATTTGGATCGGACAGCTGAAATATAAACAGATGAATTTTTTTCTGTGGATGGAAAAATGGCTTTTGATTGGTGCAAAGGAAACAAATATTAATTTTCTCCTAAAACAATTCTGCCTATATTGACAAAATTTATAAAACCTTATCCAGTGATGGAAAACGATAGATGCTTTCAATCTCTGAGCTACCTGTTTTAAAATAAATGCAAAGGAAAATAAATGAGCTGAACTATCACAGTTAATAATTATTATCATTTGCTGACAGATAATGAAATGTAGATTTCCTGCTGTGATGTTAGCATAATGTAGGTGCCAGTCTGGTTCAGGGAAAGCTGTTATACACATTTAGCCAGCGGCATGGGGGGGGATGTTTGCATGGGGGGCGCGCACCCCCCCCCCCCCCCACCATAAACAGTTTGCGCCCCCCCTCCCCCCACTGAAAATTTAGCATCTGGAGAAAACACAGCTGTATGAGTAACTATGATTAGCTGGAAGACCATAAAGTCCCTTTTTTCCCCGCGATTTTGTGCGTATTTCACCAAAACTATATTTTTTCGCAAGTGGCTGTAACATCCCTTGGAAAGCGAATAGTGGTAGTTATTGTCTAATGTAGCCATGATATACGTTACTTTGAACAGTGCCCTCATGTGAAGATGGTGTCCCCCGTCCCCACCCACTATTTGATGTCACCTTTTGTCTACCGGGCTGAAATTTTTGGGAGCCCCTCCATTGTAACCTCAAGCCCCCACATTTCCCCCTCCCAGGATGAGAACCCTAGCTACGCTGCTGCATGTAGCTGACATATTATACAGACTCTCTCCCTTTCAATCTGTTTCTGACCTTTGGCAGTTCTTTTTGACACTGAATAAATCTTTTTGATTGGAGGCCCATACATGAAGTTTTCTCTGGATTATTGGACTCTCATTTTCTCCCTTCCTATAATTGCTAACATTTTGGTCAATACAACTTTCCTGAAGCTACATATAGCTTTAAACTTTTAATAACTTCAGAAATTCCTCATCCTTTCATCTTGCCCTGTTTTTCCATGGTTGCTAGTCCTTATAGTACTTAACAATCTTATCACCATGGCAAATTAAACAACCAAATTTGTATCTGCAATTAAGCCAAACTCAGTTGACAAAATCTTACAAAGCCTCTGCCAATTGGTTTATAAATTTTGCTGTTCTTTAGTTCCTAAATTTTCACCTTAACTATCATGGAAATCATATCATCTTTTGATACCAAAAACATAAAAATCGGACCACGGGTTGCTGTGCAGCAACAAATTTTCTGGCGCTACGCGCCGTGAAAACTGAATTTTCCCATATACGTCGTGTACACGAGCAGAATTACCATTTGTACATATGAATGATTAATTAGCCATAATTCCAAAACCCTTTGACCTATAGACCTATAAACCCTTTGTATGCCCTCCTTGAATTTCTACATCGTGTGGAGATTATTACCTGTTGACTATTTTACTCAATGAATATTGAAGCCAATTTCAAGGGAAGACGATTGCAAGGAAAAGTTCATTCATACTTTTACAGGCTTACACGTGTGAATAGGAAGCAAACCTTTCGGTGTATCCGTCATACGTGACAAAATGGCGCGATGTATTATCATTCGCTCAAGTTCACAACATGCCCAATCGGTCATCGCGGACTTTACAACTCAGTTTGTATGAAAATACTTCAAAGTTTCACTTAAAGATTACTGATGATATTTGTTAGGCCTAAAACAGACAAGAATAACAGGTACAAATGTTATGCACGTTCAGTGGTTTTATAATGAGACACGGACAAAATATTTATTTGAAGTTAGATTATAGTGAAATAAAGTTAAAATCATTGAAGTGCATGTTTAAAAAGAATACTCAATACACCTAAAAGTTGAATATTTTAATAAATGTGAATTTCTGTCTCTCAAAACCTTAATATTGCCTATAGTATAGATATTCATTGGTGAAATCCTCTACAATGTTTTGAATAATAAATTACCAAAATTACAGCTATTTTATGGTAAGAGTTTCTACAGGGTGACCCCCAAAAAATGCAACCCTAAAATATTTGCCTTAAAAAAAAAAGGGGGATCGGTTGATTGTAATGTTTTGGGTATCAGATTAAAGCTGAGGGATTTTTCTTTCAAATACTGAAAAAAGTCATGAAAATAGCATTTTGGGTTGCTGGGGAAATGCCAATTATGTAAAAGTAGTCTTTTTCATCCTGTACACAAATACTTCAAACAGTGGAAAAATTTACTTTCCAATAGTAAGCCCACTGTGCAATTATCCTTCATTTGTGCAATGTCTTTAATATTTTGACATATTTATGATGCTGAAAAGGTTTAAAATAGGACTAAAAAGGATGAGATACCTGTTCAGCTGGAACATAAAAGGTATTTCCATCAAATTTATTTGCACTCTTTTCATTATGTGCCGCGTTGTTTGTGAGAATTAGGACATTAATTATTAATGCAGCGAATATAACTAAGTTGTACGGAATGCAGTCCTTCATTTTTAAGGAGCGCGATCGCGCAGGCGCTCCTACTGCGCTCCTCGACTATCTCGAAGGAGCGCCAAAAATAGCGCTCCTCAGAAATCCAAAAGAGGGCTCGTCAAACACGGGAAGTTTAAAAATAAGAAGTTATAAAAACGCAAAGGATTTTAAGTCTTAAGCTACACGTATTTTTCGTTGGTATAATGCCCAAACTCACGTTAATATGCCGCTGGACATCGCTAAAAATGAACGAACACCGAGCTCGTACGTACTGTATAAGATCGTGTGTGTACAGCGGTTGTATACTGTGCGTGCACAATCTGCATATCGCGTAGAGCTGCATGAAAACACGTGGGCCCGTACGTGCGAGTGCAGCAATGACTGGTTCCCGCTGCGCCGCGCACTAAGTCCCAATGAAGGCATAATGAAAATGCGGTAACCAGTCAATGTAATAGTCGCGCGCAGTGCAATGCACTGCCTGCCGTACAGTGTTTTGCGTGCAGGCCGGACGGAATAGACATTGTAAAAATGCCAAGAAAACAACGATTGAGAAGGACGATCTTTGCAAGCTTATTCACAAAACTTGATCTCTCTTGTCTGTGTATGTATTTCCCGTGTTCATGAATTTATTTTGAGGAAGATTTACTGGTATGTGAAGTGAAGCGATGCAGCGTGTTTCACCGAAATCCTATACCGTGAAACGAGTCTCATTGCCGGCCCACCACACACAGTGCATCACAAACGCTCGTACTAGTGCGAAGTTCAGATGTTGTTAGCCAGTTTCTCGTCGTGACTAGCATTGTGTATATGGCATACTTGACCTGCATTTTCCATTATTTTTAAGATTATCGATGGCAGATATTTTCGATAAAACTTAAGGCAAGTTTGTGTCATTTTGAGGCCCTTTTTGTGAAGCTTTCGTAGAGCAATTGAAATAGTTCAGGCTGAAAATTTCATATAATTTTAACGAATCTGAAAGCAAATTTTCTGTTGCTTTATGTGCCGTTTATTAACTCTCCATTTTCCAAGTATAATCAAGTGATGAACCAACTGACACCTGTATTAAAAAATGAAAGCCTGAGCAGTAGTCAAACCTTTTATTAATCTCCATTTAGTTAGTTTTTATGCCCCGCGGCGAAGCCGAAGGGGCATACTGTTTCCGCCTTGTCCTTCCGTGGGTGGGTGGGTGGGTGGGTGTGTGGGTGTGTGTGTGGGGTGGGTGGGTGTGTGGGTGTGTGTGTCCGGACAAATTTTGTCAGCGCGATAACTTGAGAAATACTTAACATATGAACTTCAAATTTGGTCTGTGTATTGTTCTTGGTAATCCTAAGAGGCCTATTGCATTTGGGGGCGAAAGGTCAAGGGTCAAGGTCACAGTGGCTGAAACAATAGAAATTTTGTCAGCGCGATAACTTGAGAAATACTTTACATATGAACTTCAAATTTGGTTTGTGGATTGTCCTTGGCAATCCTGAGAAGCCTTTTGCATTTGGGGCCGAAAGGTCAAGGGTCAAGGTCACAGTGGCTAAAACAAAAGAAATTTTGTCAGCGTGATAACTTGAGATATACTTTACATATGAACTCCAAATTTGGTTTGTGGATTGTCCTTGGCAATCCTGAGAAGCCTTTTGCATTTGGGGCCAAAAGGTCAAGGGTCAAGGTCACAGTGGCTAAAACAAAAGAAATTTTGTCAGCGTGATAACTTGAGATATACTTTACATATGAACTTCAAATTTGGTTTGTGGATTGTCCTTGGCAATCCTAAGAAGCCTATTGCATTTGGGGCCGAAAGGTCAAGGGTCAAGGTCACAGTGGCTAAAACAAAAGAAATTTTGTCAGCGCGATAACTTGAGAAATACTTTACATATGAATTTCAAATTTGGTTTGTGTATTGTTCTTGGTAATCCTAAGAAGCCTATTGCATTTGGGGCCGAAAGGTCAAGGGTCAAGGTCACAGTGGCTGAAACAATAGAAATTTTGTCAGCGCGATAACTTGAGAAATACTTTACATATGAACTTCAAATTTGGTTTGTGGATTGTCCTTGGTAATCCTAAGAAGCCTTTTGCATTTGGGGCCAAAAGGTCAAGGGTCAAGGTCACAGTGGCTAAAACAATCAAAATCTTGTATTTATTCTGAGATCATAGGGATTAGGGATTAATTCATATAAAACCTACAGAAGACACTAATGCTGTCAATGAACATTCCATTTGACCAAGGTACATGTAAGTTGATGTTAGAGTGGTGTTATGTCATGGGAACAGTCACGGTTGCGGGGCATTTGTGTTTGTAAACACACCTGACTTGTTTAAAATAAATTTTACCTTGTCTTACAGTTACAAAAACGAAAAAAGTAACGCAACTTGAGCATATGTTATTATGCAAAAACTAATAATAATGCAGCCCCTTGAATAAATCCTTATATTCAAAATAAAACAAAAACAATGGTAACCCGTCGTTTTATCCGTAGATTTTAAGGAGAGCGATTTGCTCTCCTCGAATATTTGAGGAGAGCGATTTGTAGCTCTCCTGGATTTTCTTTAAATGAAGGACTGGGAATGGATTCGTCACCCCGAATGTCATAAATGTTAGAGCTTAGAAGAGCAAACACAAGCATAATATTAACACTTAAATTAAAATAGGAAAGTTTTACCACCAACACCTGTATAATACATTGTAAGTCCCGAAATTAAAAGTGTCGATTCTAAAGTATGGCGTCAGAGCAGCACCAGCTTTCAGAATCCTCTGCGTCCATGTCTCCGCTAGCTCTGCATTGAAAAGAGAAACAAATACGAACGTTACAAAATTGCAGTTTTGTTTCACTCTTTCATTGTACAAATTAATGAGCACATGATGGATAAGTTGATAGCCTCCATTTCATCAATGTGAAGAATGATTCAGTTGAATTTTGCAGAATTTAAGTAGAATATGAGTCTGACAAATAGGAATGATTGTGTAAAGTTTTGCTCAGAATTGTTTGATCTGATCGAACCATACATTGTAACTGCGACGTCTTATCTCAATAGACAACGTTTTTATATGAGAAACGTTTCGGTTACTAGCAAAACTCTGTCAGTGTTACATCACAGAACATTGTCCATATAAACATATGGCGTTGCACGTGCAGTATTCATTTTCATTACCTTGCCAGATTAGCATGCAAGTTGTCCACTACTCGGTTTTAGCCTTTCCTGCTCCTGTTTCGTCGTTTGGGGCCGCCCATTTTCGAAGGTTCGGCGGAGTGTATAAATTGTCGGAAGGCGAGATGCGAAGCTCGTTCTGAAAGGTACATCAGGCCACGAAATTGGTTGATACCTATTTCACATTTAAACAGCTGATATTTCATGAATATAGCCTCAAACCACGTAAGACGTGAGAGCTACATGTATCTACCAGTCGACAGCCGCTGATATGGACAATTAAGGCATTGTAGTTGTGTATCGACGGCAGCTATCAATTATACTTACGATAAAAACCTTGCTCTTCGTGTCCAGATTCAACCTTGGTATCTACAGAGGAATATATTTAATTAAAGTGATTATAAAACTTATTATGTATCTTTGTTATTGTTAATTAAAAGCGAATTGTAGTGGAGGCTTGAAAAGATTGGGGTATTGAGAGCCGTTGGAAATTCTGTATTAACCCTAACCCCTGGGGCTCTTTTACTAGAAAGTATCCTGAATCCGCCAAAATCCATCAATTTTGCCATGCAAAAAAATGTTGATGACCAGTGAGTCCATCAGAATCCACCAGTTAGGCGGGAGTAAATCTGGTGAGATCCTGAATCCGCGAAAGTCCCCCAACAGCTCAATATAGAGGTATCCTGAATCCATCAAAATCCTGCAGTTCTGCTAGGCTAACAATCCTGAATCCATCGAAATCCCCAGTTTGTGCAATATGGAGGTATCCTGAATCCACCGAAATCCCCCGAAACAGGGGTGTGGATTTTGATGGATTCAGGTACGTTAGGGTTAATACCTAAAAATTATATACAATAATATTATATGCAGCTCTGAAACACTTACTTGAGATTCGTTGTATTTTAGAACATTGAATTTGAAGAAAACTTTGAGCAGTTATCACAAAAGAAGGGATATTTCATTTTCTTCAATCTATTTTTGAACAAATGATTCATATCCCGTGCTGACATGTACATACCTCGCTTGCTTTCCCCTGCATGGCCATCACAACGTGCGTCCTCTTTGGAACAAAATAAAAGGAAAAGTGCGAAAATATTTCAGCAAAAAAGATCAACTTGTGCCAAAATAATTTCATGCAGTATCGCGTAAAAGCTCAATTTAAACGTCTAGTCTGAACTCTTAAGGGCCAAATGTCTATATAATAATGTGCGCCGGGTTTAGAGTGTTTGATCGGAGAGGAGAAACATCATCTGATGTATAGGACAAACCAATTTAGCAGGTGTTTTTTACTCACCCAACAACACCAGGCCAAGTATGACCAGACATTATTAATTATTAACTTCATTTTGTCAACGCCAACAACTCACAGCATACAAATAGTATATCTTTCGGGTAGAAGGTAAACTGTAACAACAAGTAAATAAACAAAGAAAACAGGAAATGTATACAATTATTTTCCTGCACAGACATGAAGTTTATAACAAGGTAATATCGAAGCAGCTGAATAAACACGCATGCATAAAACGGCTCTACCGGTACTTGTAGCTTGCAGGAAAAGTTTTTAGATTCCGATTGATGTTTTCCACGGGAATATAAACGTACACCTTTTTTTCTTAGAGTTTTAATTGATATTGATACAAAAAATGTACTATCAAGAAATAAATTCAACAGACAAGCAACTATAGGTCTGTCTGTCAGTTTGTGATTCGCAATGAATTTGAATCTCACGTTAACTGCATGCATTACATACGTACATTCAGAGAAACACAGTCCTGAGCGCCACTTACCTGTTCGATAAAGAATACAAGAAAACTTCAAACTTGGCCTAAAATAGCATAAATATCTTCTATTTTTCCCGGAATGCCGTTGAGAAAATAATGAATATTTATAAGTCACCGGCAGAATTTTAAGGGAATTGAAGGATTAATTTTTAAAATATACTTCTGTAACAGTTTAAAACTTTGGAACACCTCTTTAAAGCAACTGGTGGAAGACTATTAATTGTCTCATTTGCTTATCAATACCTTAGCCAGACTGGTACCATCCTTGAAACCGATACTATTTTATTAGCTGTTCTTTGTAGACTTAAGCCCCTCTGGAGTATACACTGGTATCGAATTCTTGAAATGCGATAATTTTCATGGTTATTCCTCGTGTATTGGACCCCTGTCATATTTGAATATTAGAATAATTCCACACGCGATTAGCTGCATCTATATCTTAAAACCATCTGGTTGCACAAGCGCGTAATGCCCCACCCACACCCATGTTTACCATGTAGTGTGGATATTCCTTTGTATTTAGCAGTAAGAAAAACCTGTGGAAAAAACTCATTTTACTCACATTTTGAAAACTCTTTCAACCCATTTTTTTCCTATGATTCCCTTTAGTGTTTCTCTTCATTTTGCCACCGATAAACCTAACCCCAAAATGCCTCTAAATCTGTTTTCCAGAGAGGGTAAACACTGTGTGGACGTGAATGTAATGCTTGTACACCCATACAAGTGTGCATTTGCCTGCATATTGTGCCTCTATTGTTTGTACTTTTTAGGAAGACCTCCCACATGTTTTGCACACGAATCCAAGTTGGGGACCTCTCTGGAATTGGGGACCTATTTTCTTCTATTGTTCAACGTCCCCTATTGAATGCAGAAACAAACTCACACACACATCTTTTGACCAGACGGGGGGATGGGCCACTGGATCATCCCGCTGGATATAGTGAGAAATAAAACAATGCCGCTTTTAAGGTTATTTTCTCACTTTCCAACAGCCCAATGTATTAAATAGCACTGGACAAAAATTAAAATAAAAGAAACAGTATTAAAGCTTGAAATGCACTGTAAGGTTAAGCGTAAGCTCTATTTTTGCATAAGATACACATTTGTATCATGAACAGCCCCCCCCCCCCTTTCAAATTTCCACGGCCGGGCAATTTTAGGATTCAAAATTTCTTTAAAATGAATCCGCATTGTAATACATTATTAGGGGCAGGCAGTGTCATCGGTCTAAATTTTATTCAAATAAATACAAAATTTCAGTCCTTTGATTCTGGAGGCTAAACAAAGTTTCTCTGAAATTAGTGTGTAAAAGGGACAAAATTGCACATTTTCGAAAAATTTTTTGGGACCTGCCAATGCTGCTGAAAAACTTCCTCCAGCCCTAAATGACAACCCAATGATAAAATTTAGGGCTGGGTACCCTTGATTACACGCAGACGCCTCCATATGATCGTTAGCTGGAGTTACCTAGCCCTAAATTTTATCATTGGGTTGTCATTTCGGGCTGGAGGAAGTTTTTCTGCAGCATTGGCAGGTCCAAAAATGTTTTTTCGAAAATGTGCACTTTTGTCCCTGTAAGACACTAATTTCACACTGGAACTCACCCAAACCTTGCCTGGCATAACCACTACACAGGTCCTTGAAGTAAAAAATGGGGACAAAATTGCAGATCTTCAATTTTTTTTTGGACCTGCCAATGCTGCTGGTGAAAAACTTCCTCCAGCCCTAAATGACAACCCAATGATAAAATGTAGGGCCGGATAACTCCAGCTTATATGATCGTACACAAAAGCAATTGCGGCCAAACAAAACAATTCCCTACCTACACTATTTGTAACTTATGCCTAAGTAGGGCCTAGTAAGTTTTTACACATTTCTTTAATTCATATTTTTTTTTTACTCAAATATCTTTCTTTTCTTTTTTTCTTTTTTTTAATTCTTTGTTTTGCCAGGGGAAAATTCGGTTCTCTAATGAGGCCTATTAATAACAAAAGTGTGAAAAATTTACAGTCTAAACAAATAAGCCTTCGCTAATACTGCTTGAGTGAATTTGCACCGAGTATTGTGGGAAGAGAAACGGCACAGATATTGCCCCCTTTTTTCTTCCCACAGTGCTTGGCATTGTATTGTGCAAAAATCATTCAAAAGATATTAATTGCAATAAGGTCAGAGGGCTGCTGTTATTATTTATCTGTATGAAGAGAACTTCGTTCTGATTCTGATTGATATTCTGTTTTTTTTTCACAAATTGTAAATCATTTTTCTTTGACTGCAGCCAAGAGGAGGGAAGTTGATCTCATCTCAAAGTTTGGTGGAACATGGCTTTCTACTGGTTCCCGTCTCCCATATCTGCCATACATGTAGCCCTTGCTCTTGGGAAACCATCTGGACAGATGCTGTCCACATAGTGATACGTAGCCTACCTGTTCATCGTCCGCCATAGGAACCAAGGTGCGGACAGGCAGTTCAGGATGTCTGTGAGAGATGAGGCAACATCCTAAAGTCTATTCTGGCTTCTCTCAGGATGACTGAGTGCTGCAAATTGGTGAGTGTCTTAAAACATTTTGCTCAAATAACTCAGGGGAAGAGGGGCCAGGAAACACCTCAGATTGCACCACAGAGCATCTGGAATCTAAAACTTCCTGGGCTTCTTTAGCTGGCCCTGGACCCCACGCCGTAAGACATTCGTCCTCGGAAACACTGTCCCAATGCATCATTGCAACAGTTTAATACAAAGTAAACTTGTCAACACAATTCTTTTCCCAAACTAAAATGCAAGAAAATATGAAGACGAAAATACTTGGTTTTCAACTTTGAAGTACACAGTAAGTTAAAATTTGTAAAAGCAAGAGTTGTTTAAAAAAATCCTTATAATCTCAAAAATATTATGTATTCCTTCCTTTAAATCCTTCAAACGTTTTCTTCAATCCGTCCTCAAGTGTCCCATTTTTGAGATGGATTTGATTCAGAGAATAGACAGTCAAACTTTGGCATCTACTGTAATTGATACAAAATGGATTTAAAGGACAAAAGTGCTCATCCATATCAAAATTACTTTGTTTATCAAAAATTGTACCATTTTTTTTAAACTACAAAACTGCACTTACTCTTTCATCAAATTGAAATGCAATTGAAATGCAATTGAAATGTGCCAAAATCAGAAAAAAATGACATCGGTTTGGATTGATATTGTATTATTTTGTTATTTTTTATTTTCCCACCCCTCTAATTATGAATAGTGCCCCACCCCCAAAAGAGGGAGTTTGCCCAAATGTTGTGGTTTTCATGTAATTTGAACTTTAATTTTTTAGCTTACTGCAAGATGTCTTGATAAATGACTCTGCTTCTGTGCTTATTTTGCCATTTCCAATAGAAAACCCCACCCACCAAAAGGTAGGGGAATTTGGCTATTCAGTTGTGTACTCTTGATTTATACCACAAGCAAACTGACTATTGGTAAGCTTACAGTGACTTTTCTGTAGTAACCATTTGCTTGAGTAGATGGTCCCTCCATCTGTTGAGTTGCATCTCACTGTGAAACGCTGGAGCTGGTCATTGCACTGCAGCCACAGTTGAGACAAGACTTTCCCTTACTCCCCCTGGTGATTCCTGACCGGCTCATCACCGTATATTCCCTCCCCCCTTCCTCTACCCTTTATCCCCAACCTCCATCCCCACCCTCCATCCCCACCTTCAGTCCCCTTTGTCCATCCCCTTTCTATCATCATTCGCACGCACTGGTCCATGTCTACTTTTCCTTCTCCCTCCATCCTCTATTCATTTCTTCTGTCACTTGCACGCACCGTTTCATTTCTACCTTTTCTCCTCCCTGTTTCCTCTCTTCTCCACCCCTACTTTGCATTTTGCACGCACCATCTAATTTCTACTCCCCCCCCCCCCCCCTCCTTCTGCTCTCTACTAACATGGGATCATGACAGCTACCTTCCCGGTGGTGATCCTGTTAAGGGAAGTTTTCCTGATAAAGGGAAATTTCCCGAACTAAAGCTGTCAAATAGGGGATGTTTGTTCGCTGGATCATTTGGAATGGTGATCAACTTTAATCTCCATTAAGTCTTTATAATGGAGGACATGAGGATTATTTCATGTTGTGTTATGCAATTTCGTATTGAGTCAAAAGAAAGTTTCCAAATTTGAAATAATCTTGCTTCATTTCACACACAAAATGTAGGGATATTCTTATTAACTTTTATCCGAAAAAATCACGTAATTTGCATACTATAGTTTTGCACACTTATTCCTAAGTTATGTCTATTTCATTGAAAAGATCACAAAACTGGGCTGTCAACCACGTATCAATTATTGTTCTATGAACCGATTAATGCCTATTGAGTACAATGAAACGTAAACAAGTCAATTGTAACTCCAGATAGCATTGATCAATCGCAGTCATTTGTTTTTAAATGAGTGGAAAATGTTCTTTTCAGACATGTTCATTGAAGTTTCAAATCTTTTTTTAAAGATACAAAATCATTGATTTGGGTAGCTTTCTTTCTGGCTAACCGTGTATAATCGCACAATAGTGAACAAATACCCCCTTACCCGCACTGGCTACGGACGGGCGGCATCAGATAATTATGATATGAGTTAAGATAATTATGATGTCGGTTTTTTGGGAAGGACCCCAAACCTATTTTATCTACCGCATTTACTGTACACACATTCGCAAGTGCCCTCTATCTAGTGAGGCCAAACCAGTGCAATACACATGCCACGCAAGTGTTATTGAGTTTTCCACCAGCCTAGCGAGTGCACTGCACTGCAAAAAGCCTGCGAAATAATCATCTCTCACAAGGATTTTGACTCCAGGAACAGAGGCCTCATCGCTGACTAAGGACTCAGCAAGGATTCATCGTGGGCCAGGACCTGCGGAGTACTTGAAGTTGTCGAGCCTGGTGAGAATGAGACGGCTCTTTTGAAAATCAACCGCCATGACCGCACCTTCATTTTCAAGGCCTTCACCGCGCTCAAGTTTTACATGCACAGGAAAACCAGTGAACTGAGATTTGACTGGTCTTTACTTTCAAAACTCAAACTTAGTTGCTCCATGAGTTGCTTGCGGTTCACTCCATCTTCAATCTCATACATGTATCTGCCATGTAGCGCGTCTTTATGGGAGGCTGTATCTGGACAGATGCTGTGTACATAGATGGTACCTATTGATCTTCTGCCATGGGAACCAAGGTGCAGACAGGCAGCTCAGGATGTCTGTGATGGATGAGGCACCATCCTGAGGTCATCAACACATCTTCTCTGGCTTCTCTCAGGATGATTGAGTGCTCCAAACTGGTGAGTGTTCTCAATGAATTCTTCATATTAAAATGTGTCAAAGACAGAATATCACTTTATCAGGAAACTTGTTGGACCAAGGAATCACTGTCTTCCCTATTTTGTCCATATTTTTACCATTGTCCACAAATGGATAATATGAGATAACATTCAATCAAAACCCTGATCCCTTTTGAATTTTCAAAGGACAAATCACTCTCAGTTTCAGTTTCTGATTTTCTTTTCATTGCTGACTGAGGAATTGAAAAGCAAATGAAGGTTTGACTGTTGGTTTTTAAATCTTTCCTCAGAAGAGACTTACCTTTGCAAACCATGCTTAGGCAGGATTGGACCAGACCAGTGCCTAGACTATCGTGAATGACTGCCTGCTGAGGCTTTTCCCTGGCGGCATCGAAGCCATCCACACCATAACCCATGATGCCCTGGCCTGGATGTCTACCTTGGCCTACACGCCATATGAAAGAAGTGCCTAGATTAGGCAGGGCAGGCTGGATGATCATCACCATGATGACTGAGATGACCTTAAGGGTGAGTCAAACCAAGAATACAACCTGCTCCATCAAAACTCATCACAATGTGCACCAAAGAACCTCAGATTTCATTTGTAAATGAAATTTTGTCCGCACAAGACCATAATTCTCGAACTTGATTCTTGTGAATAAGATTGTTGTCCTCAACATTCTGATTGAAACAAACTTTGATACTTTTCCCCAACAGCATCCTGGACAGTATATTGTAATTTGGAGAAGAAAGAGAAATGAAAACAATTTCTCAGCAACGATCATGACAATCATTTCTGAAAGACAGAGGAATTGAAAATCTCCCTCAAAAGAATTATGTGTGATTTGATTTATATAAACATAAGAAGAAATTTCATTTGTGTGGACTGTCAAAGACAAATGCAATAAAATTGAATTATTTGCATTAAGTGTCCAGTGACTTTCCTAATTGTTTGCAAGCAGATAAAACTGTCACATTGCAATTGTACATTCAAGTTCTCTTTTGCTGCCAACCTCTTACAGTACAGCTAGTGCACATGTTCTTAACTTGATGGAGCAGGTTTTGTGTATCATAGGAGAGATCTGAGTGAAAAACAACTATTAATTGAAGAGTTCTTCTCCAAACTACTTAAAGGCATATAGGATCATTTGTAGTTGCCCCAAAATTAACCTCCCATACTATTATACAAATGCTTACTTCGATTAAATTAAAGATCGTACTGGTACTAAACACGCCACGAAATTATTTTGTATAGCTTGCTGTCATTTCAAAGAAATTAAGAAATGTACATGATTTCCAACGATCAATTCACTGGGTTTTTTTTTGATAAAGAGTACTATTGACGAAATGGTGTTTAGTGATCAAAACGTCATGCTTGGTTTTTCAATATTTTCTTAAATGAATTAAAAAGTGAAATATCTGAAACTTCCACATATTAGGTTTTGAACACTCTTCTTTTTGATTTTGAGTGATGTTAATATTCGAAACAATGTATGCATGAACAGCAAATGATCCTATATGCCTATGAACTGTTGCTACATATTCTCAAAAATTTTGGGTGGCAAATTGTACACACATACTCTATCTTTGGTTGCTAGAACAGATCGGCTTTTAGTTGTTTCATTTCATATTGATTTCATTTAGTCTTCAAAATTATTGAGTTCATTTACCTGATATTTGATTCTGAAAACTGAAATACGTGAAAAGATTTTTTTCTGAACATGTAAAAATGTAGTTTCTGTCACTGCATAATATGCAATTTTCTCAAACAATTCTGCCCTTGTTTATAACAAAATTTAAACATTCTTAAATCATTGATTAGAAAAGTTTTGACACTTTCAATCTCTGAGCTACCTGTTTGATGAGGGTTGAAGATTTTGGTAAAAGAAAATACTCATCTTAACCATCAACTTTGATATTGATAATCATTTGCTGACAGATAATGAAGTGAAAATGGTTCTTGTTTCTGTCAATGTTTGAGAACAATATTGAGTCAGCATGATGATAGATTTAAGCAAGCTACAGATGTATTATTGATGTACCCTAACGTGGCGCAGCCGCTAACGTGGCACACTTTGATTTTTTGCCTGTAGCGCCTAGCTAGAGCAAAAGATTTAACTAAAATTTCACAGAAAGAGAAATTTCATCAAGTTCTAAACACTCCTATTCATAAATTGCGAGTTTATTTACCCGTAACAAAGTCAGAAGAAAATTTTCTTTTGGCATGATTTTCCGATTTTATTTTCAAGTGCGAAGTGAACCCTTTGAGAATGCCCCAAAAAATAAGAAAAACATTTTCTGACAAACATCTGGCTGGGTATGTAAGTAGAGATAATAATTATTTAAATTCTTAAATGTTAATTTGGAATTTTCCGAGATTTATTCAAGTGCGCCACGTTAGGGAACACTCCGCCGATTTGTGCCCAATTTCCGGACGCTACCGTTTTTGAATTTCGGATGAAATTTTATGAAACCGAAATTGTTCACAGAGGGTTAAATAGCAAGCATAATAATAAGGTAAAAGTACTTGTATTTTACTGAATGAATTTGAGGTTTGTCAACAAAGAAGTTTGGCAAAACTACACAAGGAAAGTTGGGTGGGCTTCGAAGTGCGCCATTTTAATAGGGAACAGGACTATATGCTGTTAGTGAATTGTAGGTGCCAGTCTGGATCAGGATAACATGTAGCTGACAATTAGTTCAATACTTGTTGCTTTCCCTTTCAATCTATGGCTAATTTTTGGCTTCTTTTCCAAATACACAAAAACAATTTTATCAATTCCTCATCCTATGTGCATTTGCCAAGTTTGCTAGATCTTTTAGTCCTTAATTTCCTCTGCTTAACTGTAGTACAACAACCAAAAGCCCAACTTTTATCACATGCAACTATTCCTGTGTAGAATTTTGCACTTACACTGTATATTGTCTAATCAAAGGGTGTCCTAAGGGTTAATTAGAGATGGGTCATACAAATCTTTTTGCACTTCTCTGGTCATGAAGGGGCTATGTCAGTCTCGTGGATCACAAAATAGGAATGAATAAAGTTTGAAAATGATCCCTTTTAGAATACAAAACCCAAATGATGTACAACCGAAGTCTTAATTATTTGCTCCATCATGTGTCCAAAGTCTTGGTTAATGTGAGTTGGTGCTTACCATTGATTACAAAGTCCCTCTGACTCATGGCAAGTACATTGCTAGGATCATTCATGTACATGTAGTTTGTCGGTCTTGTGCACATAATTTTAATGTGGATGGTCAGTCACATTGTAGCAGACAGGGTCATGTAAGCTGCTTGCTAGTCACCTCTGAGAGTCATCCCCTCCCTTCCTTTTGGGCAACCATTTCTTTGGTACTCAGCCCTCAGTATTTATTCTTTATTCGTCTCCATCTTTACTTCATCTTTCTTTTCCCATTCTTGTCTGATCTTGTTTCAATTCAATTCAGTGACATTTATTTCCATCTAGAGCAGAGTAAAAGAACCATAAAGTTTCTATATAAAGATGGAGACATTATTTTAAAATCCAAAGCTTATACAAATGTAGGGGCACACCTTACATTATAAATGCATTGGTTACCAATGTATATAAGCTTCTTTTCTTTCTTTTATTGTAAAAAAAATATGATATTTTAATGATTTTCTGTCTCTATGTTTCTGACTGAAATATCCCAATAATTACTTTTTGCAATAAGTGCTGGAAAAAAATTATATCTGGGGAACTTTGACGGAGCTTCTTGCAGCTCCTTGTATCCATACACATTCATCTTTCTTTTTCTGCCTTGGGTGTACCCTAGGTTGCTATTATCTAGCTTCTCTAGTCTTTTCTTGGACTAAATAGAAGCCAACCTCTACACCTTGCAATTTCTCATCCTGTTCCCCCCTCCAAAAACAAACAAACTTGAATGTGTCATACCATTTTGAACAAAACTGTGGATTGAGGTCTCCACTCACGATCCAACTCTTTAAGTGAAAAATCAATAATTTTTTGAAAATTGACGGTCAATTAAGGAGATAAAGATTAATCAACTGTGCCAGAAATTCTCATTTAAAAGTTGTTTCCTATGTGAAATTTGAGGCAAATGGATCGAAGTATTGCAGTTATTATGATTCCCTCTTTTTACAATAAGTGCTGTAATTTTAATATCTGGGGAACTTTGACTGAACTTCTTGCAGCTCCTTGTATGTCTCCATACACATGCCTCCTTGTTCTTCTGCCTTGGGTGTACCCTAGGTTGCTATTATATAGCTTCTCTAGTCTTTTCTTGGACTAAATAGAAGCCAACCTCTACACCTTGCAATTACTGTCCTATCATAATTATTCCCTCATCCTGTTCCCCCCCCCCTCTCCAAAAAACCCAAAACAAACAAACTTGAATGTGTCATACCATTTTGAACAAAACTGTGGATTGAGGTCTCCACTCACGATCCAACTTTTTAAGTGAAAAAAAAATCAATGGGCACTTTGGGGAGATAAAGATTTATCAACCGTGCCAGAAATTCTCTTTTTAAAAGTTGTTTCCCATGTGAAATTTAAGGCAAACGTAAACGAATCACACATGGATCAGAAAAATGTGGATTAATCAAGGCTTTGAAGACTGATGATTTGAATTGTTGAAATTCAAAAGAAATTGTAGTTAGTTGCTGATTGGACTTGCATCAATATTAGTTTAGCTAGTGATACTTTGTTGTTGATGGCTCAGCTTGAGGAACTTTTGTTTCGTTGTCAGTTGTCACAGCTTCATACATGACAGTGGCGTAGCACAGTCATTTTTTTATTTGGGGGGGGGGGGGGGTTAACATTTTTTGAAAAGGGAACTTGCACATCCGTGGTGAAATGTTGACGGAAGGGGGCACAAAAAAGGGCACCACTTCTTTTTGAAAAGGGCACTTGTTCAGGAAAAAAGGGCACTTCTTAAACAAACAAAAAAGGCATTGGTGAAAAAAATGGCATTTAAATGGAAAAGGGTAGTCTTTATAAAATATTGGGGGGGGGGGTAAATACCCCCTTACTTTTTCAATTAATGCCATGCTTTGCTTAGTTCTGATAAAGATCAAGAAACATGCAATATGTAAAATATCTAACAAACGCTTTATTCTTTTTTCTTTGCTGTCTTAGATTGAGTGAAAAGTTTCAATTTCTTATCTTAATTTTATTGACAAATTCTAGCCATGAATGTTTGACTATGGTATTTGGTCAAACATTAAATTGAAGTTGCATTCTCTGTGCTTTTTTTCAAATTTCATCCCCCACCCATAGAGTCCTTTTCTAAATTACTATTTTTCTAGCAATACGAACATTTTTCACTTGTGAATGAGACATTAACCAAACAAAATCGGCTCACGTTTAGTTATTGAATCAGTTGTTACTTAACAGATGTAGATGCTGATTCTGGCCCCCACAATCAGTTCTGATGGACCAGGATCTGTTTGTGCCTAAAATAGTGCCATTTTCAGAGGATCTCACTGGATTCCCCCAGAAAAAGAAAACAGAGTTTTGTGGTTGGAACAAAACATACAAGATGAAAATG